TATATATATATATATATATATATATATGTATATATACATACATTCGTATGTATGTACTATGTTAGCTATATATTTAAAATTGTACACATATGTATACTATACTATATTATGCTATACTACACATACATATATACATACATACATACATACATACATACATACATACATACATACATACATACATACATACATACATACATACATACATACATACATACATACATACATACATACATACATACACACACACACACACACACACACACACACACACACACACACACACACACACACACACACACACACACACACACACACACACACACACACACACACACACACACACACACACACACACAAACACACATACATAAATAGTGTCAAAATTTAAAGTTGAGTTCCATTGAACGTGAATTTTTGAGCTGTTTTTCGGACAGTCAAAAGCGTGCATGCCTTAGTGTATATGTTACATCTTTAATAATTTTCATTATGTAGGTAGCTCACTTTATAACATTTTTTCAATGTTTCTATTATCGAATTCTACTTTCCATAAAATATATATATATATATATATATATATATATATATATATATACATACATTAGCCAATTCCACCCAATAGTTTTAACGCTCCAGTATTTTCACTCATTCATTTTTCATTTCATTTAATTATTATATAAATTTTACAATAAGGGTTACTACCAATAAACATTGCAATGTCCAATCTGTTCCTTGAAATTATGATGCAATTCAGCTCGTCTCAACGTGTCCTCATCGCCGACAGTTATGTCCAATGGTTTTCAATTTACAAGTGAATCATTCATTCATGCACTTGGAGCGATCAATCATGCACCTAATGTCTAAATTTTTTTCTTTTTATTGTTAATTGTCGTTTATTTATTTATAGTTATTCATATTAATCCGACTACCCCTTGTTCATAGGCCTTGTAATAGTTACAATATGTTTTATCTCATTCTAATTTCATGTTAATATTTGGTTATTAAGTATGTGGCGTACAATATTAATAAATTTTGCTTGTTCAATTGAACAATTAAATGAATGTGTTGAATGTATAACGGCTAATTTCAAAAGAATTTCAAATATTTTCAACCATCATCATTTCTTCTTAACAGCCTGTATAATCACCTTCATGAATATTCATCTTTCTAGGCTGCCTAAATTCTTTCTTGCTTTTATTACAGAATTTCATTAAAACAATGACAAAACTAATGTTACGTTTCAAAACTTTTTAAAAATGTAAGTTTTGGGCCGCCGATTCTTTAAATTATTCTTTGCGCCTACATTCAACAGTCTTCATGTTATTATTCATATTAATTGTGTATATGACACAATATTATTTTATATCCATATATTACATTATTATTATTACTATTAATTTATGATTATTATATTATTATATAAGAATATTTTAATCTTAGAATGTGCAATGCAGATGATAAGGAGCAGTTATTATTTTTAACCTGAGCTAAAAATTTCTTACTCATTAATCTTTCATTCTTTAATGGGCGTTTATGCAATAACTTTTTTTAGCAAAATGTTCAATCAATTTGTGCACTTGTATTACGTCTAATTAGTTTGTTTCTACTTTAAATCAATCATTAAGCTGCATTTAATGCGTCTGGTTAAAGTCAACTATCAAAAGGCAACTTTTAAAGGATGACATCGCATCATTCTCTTCATGACATTCCTTTCATTTCATCCTTGATTAAAACTTGATTAAAGCATTTAATTTGATATTTATCACTGATCAACAATCTCCTTCTTTAAAATTTTTAAAATTTAAAATTCTATTTTTTATGTATTTATTTGAATTATGCCTGATTACTGCCTTTTATTTGCCTTTCCATTTTATTTGATTTTCTGTGGACTGATTTGTACGTAATACGTAGAATGAAGTTGCAGACGAACTTACCACCATTTTACATTCATCAACGATCGGTTTACGTCTCACCAACTACACACTTTATTTTAACATTATCGCCAAATCACTGCATTCGATTTAGTTATTAAATTTTCATCTTGTTTGCGAGCAATAGACATTTTTTTATTTTTTAACAAAAACTACTTACATTTTCATGTTTGCATCTTTCCGCATGAGCCAATAATTTACTTGTATTAATTTTGTATTTTAATTTATCTTTCGAATTTTACAGTACAATTTATAGAACAGTTTGACCTTCAGGCACGATGAAGCCTGTTTTGACGATTGGAGATTTTTATTTGTATTATCAGCGGAAACAACGACGGCTTAATTGCTTTCATTTTTACGACCAATAAAATATGAACTCATTTGTGCCTAAATATCAGGTATAATAAATTTATTAAAAATATTCTCATTCTCATACGCTTCATCATTATGTAGATATCTGAAGTTGTAAGATGTAGGGTAGCACGCGGAAGTTTGTTGAAACTGAAAGAAGCATGCCATAAATAACACGATGTCTTCAAGGATCATCCTAACATTCCATTTATTATCCTTATCACCATTCAGGTACTCTTGACTTGTCGCTTTCATGTTTGTTAGCTCGGACGAGATTACACTGTTAGTGTTACACGTTGATGTCTGCGTGCCGGTGTTTCATTTGATGCCCACCGCAGACTGTACTCGTCATGTTCGTCGACAGTTACCTGAGTTTAGAAAAAAATATTGAAATGAGTGCTATTTCAATTTTACACCGAACAATGTTTAGCGGTATTTGTTTTATTTGTTTATGCAAAAAGCGTGTAAGGTGTCTGTCATTTCTCTTGATTATAACACGACGTGGGCATCATCTTTGTATTGTTATTATACCAGCTGGTATAGAAAATATTTTGAAGCGAGGTATTAAAAATTGATTAGAAAAAATAACTGGGAAACGAAGTTACTACGATACGTTTTCATTAAAAATTTAACTCATTATTTTAACCCGAAAATTTATTTTGTAAAGTTATTTTCCACAATTAATAGAATTTTCTTCGTAGTTAGCATTGATGCAATTTTGCGGATCGGTATATGATGATCCGGCTGGTCATCATCATCAGAATCCTCGCATTGTTTATTGCTTCTCGCCGCACCTGCAAATAATTCCATGCGGCCGCCAACGTATTGATACTAACATCTTCCAATTTATGGCACCGCACCTACCAGTACACAACAAAAAATTGCACTAAACACAAACAATATGCTCACCCATACGTCCACACATTTATAAACATACATATCCTCGTTAGAATGATATATGGATATACGTTATACATGCACTGCACACACATAAAGTGTACACACACATCCATGTTTATAATAATCTCAATTAATGTTTAACATAGGGATTTATACTTGATAAAGAATATTTTGACAAAATTTCTGTCATAAAGTAGGCTAGTTGTTGGAACGTTTTCACAAAAGCAAAAGACGAGTAGAAGCAGCAACACGCCAGCTCACATCTTCACTGAATGATTCTGTGTTTTCTGTTATATTTGTTTATAGAGAAACAAAATGCATTACCGGGAAGCCGTCAAACAGAGCTTTGAGGTTGTGTTTCGCCTGGCATGCAACTGCACTGCGTAGGACTGACTGAATAAAAACATTTCAAAGCAGGATGAAACAAGCACGTTGACGCGGCTGATTCATAAACATCATTTAGGGGTCAGATATCTTCAAGCAGCAAACACTGGCCAACAACAAACAATATATTAATATGAACAACAATAACAACAGCAATATATCAGCCTCAACATTAACAACAATTGAAAGAAAACCAGGTCTGATGGCTTTCCATCATAAGCCAGATAAGATAAATTGAGTTTTTTTTTATTGAATGAGCTAATTAAATTTAAGCACTTTAGAAATTTACAATTAAATTATTATTAGTATAGTAAAATTGTTCATGATCTATTTTGTAAAATTAGATTCGTAAAATAGATAAATGAAAATGAAATAAATATTAAAAGCTGAATACTCCGGAGTGACTTGTACGGTCAAAACAAACAGAACTTGCACGGCACACACGCGCTGCATGACATGATGTTCAAATGTATGTTTGTGCACAAAAATTTAGTGTATTTACTCAGAGAAACTGCAGTGATAAAGAGAGGACACAGTCATGCGTACATATGCCAGGATACATACACACAAATAAAATAAATATATATGTATTTTAAAATATAAATATATTTATATATTTTGTGAGTCGACTTGAATCTTCAAGTACGGGATTTTATAAAGGGTGAGAATTTTCGACTTGCTCCCGCAAGCACAGCCTAAAACGAGTTTGGTGTCATATATGTATTATATATATTATATATATATATATATATTAATAACGTTATATAATCTTAGATATAACTTTAAACATAAAATATTTTAATGCTAGTTAAATTTCACCCCGTTGCAAATTTATCACTGCACATATTTCATATAACATTTTAAGTTCAGTTAAATTTAGCATTTAAACATTTTTAATGCCATAATTTTGATTGAATAATTACAACCTGTTTTGTCGGCAAGTCAACGCAGAGACCTGGTTCAAATTCTGTCACTGCTGTTTAAAAAGCTCTCTCCAAAATTTTCATTATCAAATGCTGTAATAAATTAATACAAAATTATAAAAAGAAAAGCTAAGAAAGGAAAAGAAATTTAAAAAAATGAACTAACTACCTTTTTGACGCAGGGTAAAATTTTAGACATGCATTGCAGTGAGTGACAATAGTACCTATATTCTTTTTTTTAACAACAAACCAATCAAACATTATTTATTAAAAGATAATGTGGCTGAAAAACTGTTCAGTATTTATAAATCAGTTTAAAATTTTTACAAAATAGACAGCCAATTAACTAACTCATTGAACATCAAACATTTTTCCACTTCGGAAAAAAATTAGACAGAAATTTGTCTGATCATCGATAAAAATGCTGAACCACACACGTGAGACTGAAGATGATGTGACTCCACGGACTGAACTGCCATTATTTGGCCTCCTTCATTATCTGTTTCTTTGTTGTCCAAACAGACTGTATGTAATGTAATGTAGAAGGCATGTTCGCTGCACGAAAAGTCATTTATTACATCGTTGAATATTTTCTGTTGGTCGTAAAAAAGTGAATAAAATGCAATAAAATAAAACAACAGTCGGCGTGGTTGTGTAATGGTTAAAGGCGCCTGTTTCACTGTTACTGTCATCGGGTTCAAATCCAAAGAAAATCCCCACAAATGGTACGCAATGCACACGATACCTTCGTTCGTGCGTGCTCACGGGATAGGATGAGTGCGTGTCGTTATCGTTTGATACCTCATCAAGTCAACGAATTGAAAATTGCTAATAATTACTGATAATTGCATTATTAATATCACTAAACATAAAAGTTATAATATTAAAAATAATAATACTAAATTATGAAGCGGTATGATAGTCTGGTGGTCAAAAGCACCTGGGCCGAGAAATAGCACATTTAAAGCATTTACATTCATGTCCAAAAAAACACATTGCATTTCAATGCAAACGCCAAGGAACCATTTTCTTGCAGGTTGTTGTGAGCATCTTTCTTCATGAACACGCAGAATAATGCGCAGAACGCACACGTCACGTAGATTATTTCTGCAAATAATTCAAGGGCGAGTTCGAGATCCTTGCATGTTTGCACTGGTTAACAATATTTTCGATAGAATAATTGAGCAGTTGTGCGGTGTCATGACCTTGGTTCAGTTGATTTATGACGGCGGACAATTTATGGTTGTTCTGATTTTTTTACCGTTGAAAAAGAATTGAGGACGTGCATTAATAGAAAAAGCAACAAAAGTCGTTAAGAATTCATGAATTCGCCAGTGTTAATTGCAGAAGTAATATATCCTAATGAAATATTGCAAACATGTGTATGATATAAATTAAAATTCACTCAGAAAATAAACATTTTATTTAACAGTAGTCATTTTTAAATTTAATGATTGGCTTTTTTGTAAACAATAAAACATATTACTGTTTAGAAGATAATTTATTAACCCACAGCATTATTTAGGTCTATCAATTAACACTACTGCTCAACTAATGTAATTATAACACCGCTGATGAACAATTGCATTTTCTAACCATTTTGTCGAGCCTTTGTAATTGATAAAATTTTATTTAACTTGAAATTGTTGTACAACCGATGAGAGGAGAGGTTAAGGTTAGTATTAGTGGAACCAATCAGAGGTCTTAAGCTATGCAGCCACCGAGTTTGTTTAAGCGAGCCACGGACGTGGGTTAAAAGACTAATTACATTTAGAATTGTCATCCAATTACTAAGTGTAACAAAGACCAAATGGCGTGAAACATTCGCTCCTGATCAGAGAAGTTGGTGAATGGAATGTGGAGACAGATCTGGGATAGGTAGGGCAACAAAAATGTGACGTGGTGAACAAAATATTATTCCCATAATGGACGTGTTATTTATATAACTAACTTCGCAGTGTTACGCTTCATGAAGTTTGCACGTGTAACCTTCTGATAAACAGCTCATTAAAACGATAGAAAAATAAACAAACACAAAAAGTGAACATAGCAGATGCATTAAACACGATGCATGATGATAGAGCATCAACTATTACTTGCATTCAATGGCGGATCTGGGGCCGGAGGGGCCACGAGTTATAGTAAGTAGTAGCAGTATTTTTATTAATTCAGTAAGACTCAGTTTTTGCACCAAAAAACACCGTTTCATATAAAAATTTTCTCAAAAATTGGCGTGGAAAGCAAACAAGGTTGCCAGCTTAATTTTGGCCACATTTAAACAACAACATTTAACATTTAAACAATTTTAAAATTTTGCCTTCTAGATACGACATTGTTTGTATTTGTGGTTAGGTCGGTTTTTTGTAAAACAATTTCGTTATTTGAAAAAGTTTGATAACTTACAATTTTTTATAGGATTGCTCATATTAATGGATGGTGTATCAATTTGAGATGAGTGAGTATTAAAGGTGACAAAATTCTGCATGTTTTTTTTTTAGAAATTATTTAATGTAAAAGAATTTCATAAAGGAACGTGTCGTTGGTAATTAAATTTTAAATCATTTGTCTGCTACGTCAGTCTAATTTAATTTAATTTAATCTAATTGTTATTGTCACACTGCAGAAACATTGAACAAAATTTTTATAAAGTTGAATCACTTTCCATATTTATGACCAAAACCTTCCAAACTTTCAAAGGGCACATTTTTATCATAAAATCATGTAAGCTTTTTAACATACATTCAATATACCGCATCTCAATATAATGCATCTTAATATAAAATGCATCTTATATAATGCATTTTAATACAATGCATCTTAATATAATGCATCGTAATATAATGCATCTTAACATAATGCATCTTAACATAATGCATCTAAACATAATGTATCTTAATACAATGCACCTTAATATAATACATCTTAATATAATGCATCTTTGTATGCAAAATCTTTTTGTACGCGCTAGTCGTAACTGCCACGTTTCAAATTTTTATGCTCGGAAAAATTTTTATTATCATCGCCTCTGTAATCAAATTCTTATTAGAAGGGGGATTTCGATGTGCATAATATTTTTTAATGTCATCGATGCTCTGTTCTACTCACCATATGCTCTGATGTTGTGTGTGTTTGTGGTATTGTGTGTAATGTGCTCCTTTTGTTTAAAGTGGTATGTATATTTATGTTTGAGTGTAAAGGAAGATGTTATATGAATTATTATAAAACAATAATTCACTTCTACAATGAAATTAAACAAATTGAGAACAAATTGAAAAGACCTATCCAGTTTTCATAACCATTACTCAGACCAGGCAAGAAACAGTAGGTAGACAATTTCTATTGCAACATAAAGGCAAACAAAAACTTCTGAAGAAAAAGAATTCGCTCTACAAAACAAACACTTCTATAATGCTTTTCTCTCTTTTTTTGTCTGCATAAAAACTGAGGTTACACATACGCATATCAAATGATCGCAATATATATATATATATGATATATATAACGTCTCCCGTGAATTGACATCAGACGCGCTTTATTCACTTTTTTTGCTGTGGGAGGTTGAGCAAATGATATTTTCAGACGCTTTTGAAGTCACTTTGACTTATGGCGTTTAATTTCTTCAGATCAGCAGGTAACGGATTCCAAGTTTGGGCAGCTGATATAAAAAATCTTTTTTTCCAAAATGTGAAGACTTGAATTTTGAAACTATAGGATCACCGTGGTTGGATGATCGCAGTAAGGACTTTGTATTTTTACTTTTCTGAGCTAAGGTGTTAAGATAGAAAATTTCTATCTTTGCCAAACCTCTTATTTTTGGCAAATAAAAATAAATTGAATTAAGGAAAAGATTTTCCCAAAAATTCATCATGTTTCATAACGCCAATGCGTCTTTTTTCATAGATAAATTTATTTTTTTATAAGATTTTTATCCAATATTTTCCAGTATTACAAACGGTTTTTTCAATTCATTTAATTGAACAAATTATTGTTGACATTCAAAAACAGATCCATCCAAAATGGTTGTAACATCTGCTCATTTAAATTTTGCTTAACTTCACCCGCCAATCTTATTTATCTGTACTGATTAATTCGGTTAGTTGTCGTTCACATTTTATTTACATATTGCAAACCCAACATATACACAACATGCGGGCACTGACTGTACAGTACATGTACAAGTGTACAAACATGTATGCATACATACGTACACGCAATTAAAATAGGAAGCCACATTATAAATAGACAATCGAGCGGATTGCTTTGAACGAACAGGCCTTTTTGACATGTTTTAATTTGTTCTTCCAAGCATTAAGAAGACCTTTCTTATGAACATTTGCTTTTTAATGTTTTTAAAGTGCCGAAATGTTTTTTTTACAGAATTTTGTGTGTGATTGTCGGTTCGTTCACTTTGTTTGTTCACTTGCTACATGGCTTTTTTGCCTCTTCCATTGATGTGCTTGTTAATTTAGGAAATGAATGTTGAATAAGTTACACAAACATTGTTATGTTTAAAGTAAAAAGAACGTTTTCAAGACAATTCAAAAATATTTATGTAAAGTTATTTACAAAAGGTTTCAAACTGTTTAATTACTTCTTCTTTCTCCCTTTTTTTGAGATGATTAACAAATTATCATTCAACCTAGCAGAAATGATGTAGTTAGCAAAATAGAAAGGTTTCCTTGTTAAATAATTACATTCTTACATACTACGTGCTGACGATTTTTCAGATTCATATAAGGAATGATTTATAAAATAATTTTTAACATGTAAGCAAGAAACAAGTGGGCATCAGGGGAAACTATTCGAACTGGGTGGATGTAACAAGCGGTATATCTCAGGGCTCAATGCTGGGGCCACTGTTGTTTACTGTTTTCATCAATGATATTGATAGTGGAATTTATTCCAAGAAAGCCAAATTTGCGGATAATACCAAGATCAGTGCAGTGGTGGATAAAAATGAGGATGTAGAAAGACTGTGAACTGATCTAGAAAAAACTTCACCAATGGGCAGAAGACTGGCAGACAAAATTTAACATAGATAAATGCTCCGTCATTCACATGGGAACAAAATACAAGCAAAATATATTAGAATTTGAAAACTGACATCTAAAGGTTTGATCTGAAGAAAAGAACCTTGGAATAATTGTAGACAAAAGTGGGAAACCTACCAGGCAATGCATAAAAACTGCAAAAAGAGCAAACAACACACTTGACATAATAAAAAGGACGATTGTTAACAGGGATAAATCAATAATGTTAAATCTATATAAAACGTTAGTGCGATTTATACTAGAATACTGCATACAGACATTGGCAAAAAGGCAAAGAAATGTTGGAAAAAGTTCAAAGACTGACAAACAACCTGGATGATTAACAAATGTGAATGACTTTCATATGAGGAAAGATTAAAGAGATGTTGACTGACAACTTTAGACAAACGTAGGATTAGAGAAGATCTTATTCAGGCGTACAAAATCATAACGTGTAAAGATGAGATAGAATCATCCCTATTCTTCCAATTAACAGAAAACAAAAACACAAGAGGGCACCAGTACAAGCTTTTCAAAGAAAGACTAGAAACTATAAAAGGAAGATTTTTCTGTTCGAGATTATTGAACATTGAAATAAGCTAAACGAAAAAACTGTAACAGCTTCTACAACGCAGGAGTTCAAAGTCAGACTTGGAAGATTGGGATTCAAAATCGATTCAGTGTTTCTCTCACACTGAATCTTCTGAACCACTATAATATTTGTTATGTTATGTTAAACAACATTTCAACGTGTATAACAAATCTTGAAAATGTCTTTAATGACAAGTTTTTATCTATAATGAAAGTTAATCTGAATGCTTCACCAAAATATGTTTGAAAGTTTTAAAAATATTTTACGCATTGTTTGTGGTTGTAAACTTTCATTACAGTTCAGTTGGAATAAATAAATAAATTAACTGCAGATTCATGGTGAGTGCTTGTTACCAATTTGAATGGGTCAACAGTTTATTTACGCGCTTGTTGGGGTCGCAGATTGATTGATGTGATGGTATTGATGAAATGGATTTATGTAATGGACGCATGTGATGGATTGATGTAATGAATGACTGAGATGCATTGATTTTTTAGAATGGGGAAATTGATTGATTTAATTAAAGATTTTGAGGTTTTTTAATATAAAAATCATTATATCGTTCCAAATAAGTTTTCAGAAACAACTTTAAAATTCCTTCTGTAAAGTTTTTAGTTTTATTATTTTTGTGTGAATAAAATCGTTGAAAATGTGTTTATATACATCTCATAAAGTTCGCTCACTCAATTTATTTCATTTTTTTTATTTTTGGGCCTATAAAAATCGTCTGCGTACGTTCATTCACTGTAGCAGCCTGCTGTTACTTCTTCAACCTCTGCAGGAATTTCCAGCTCGCTGGTGTGTGAAACACAACGTTGTATAAAATTTTTGTACGCTATTAAATAGATTTTTCTTTATTATTATAACAATGAAAACAAAATTACATTGCACTTAAAGTGGAAACCTGGAATAAAATGCATCTAGCACTCAAAAAAGGATTAACTAGTAACAAAACATGAACTGATATCCTCCCAGGCAATGGTAAGACAAATACTGTGAGTAAATTTTAAAATATTATTGCACTTTTCTACAGAATATATTTAAATTTATAATACACTTGCACCTGTTTTATAAAAAATTATAGCAGTAGTAAAAATATAGATGACGCTAGCAAACTATTAATATAAATTGATAGTCAAATGCAACTGAGCTTGAAATCAGGAAGGGCTCCATCTAGCTCTCCAAAAGCTCAGGACCGGATGCAATCCACGCCAAGGTGCGTCAGATAAAAGGAACAGTCATGTTGCAGATGTTCTCAAAAAATTGGAAGAGAAAGAGTAATCAAAAGTCTTGTGACAGACGCCAGCGCGTCTTGATGTTTCGAGTTTTACACAACCACTATCTCCGAAAGTCAGCGAGTGTTGCTCTTAGTGCTATCAACATGATATCTGCGGTTGTCAATTTTTTAAAAAATTCCACGAAAACAATTTCATCACATTTTAGCTAAAAGGCATACACGTTTGGGTTGCGAAGTAAAATAAAGTATTGTCAGATGTATTAAAAAACAACTGAACATTACAAATTTTCAGTTCAATAACTGGGAAACATTTGCAAAAATAATCTGCAATGGAAGCAAACATCAGAAATTCAGGCGGCAAAACACAGACGCATTTCAGAGGCTCAAATAAAATTCGCTACATACAAGAACAAAGTGAAAACACCCACGCGCGCCTAGACTGTCGTTGAGCATTAAGGGTCTTTGTATTTTCTAGCTAGTGAATGAACGATGGTGATGGTCTTATTGACAATACAAGCTTTCAAAAACATGCAGACCAAAAAATAAAATAACAAGACTATTGAGTGGAAAAAGGAGATGAATTATTTAGAGGAGTACCTACAATCGATCTTGCGTTTGAAAGAATCGTTGGGCGAACAAGCTGAGAGGATCAAAGTGGGAGATTAATAACGTGGATACATTACAATCACAACGGAAGTTATTATAATAAGTATACTACTGAATCAGTCAAAATGACAGCTATGTACCATTGTATCAATGTATCATTGTATCAATATATCAGTGTTTCATCGTATCAATTAATAATTGCATCATTGTGTCAATGTATCATTCAGCATAACAAACGGAGCAATATCTATTTATTGGAAACATAAACTCACATAAAATGGCGTAACGCAAAATATGCGTAAATCATTACTTTATTATCATGCATACGAAATACAGCACAAAACAAACACATAATGCTTCAACGTAGAACATTATTGATCATCTGCATTGTTACCAGGTATCAATCATTCTCTTTCAATGCAAAGCCAACGTGACATTTCTCAATGCATCAAATGAATGTAGGCACAAAAGTATATATATATTTTTAGTTATATGTATGTGTGTATGTTCATGTCTATGTATGTGTGTGTGTATGTGTGTTCATATATATAAAGTTTTACGTACGTATAATGACGTTTACATGTACTTTTGTATAAGAACGAATACCTATGCGTGCCATTTTAAACATACCATTTGCACTAATGAAAACGCGATAAGTAAATAAATAATAATGTAGTAAAAAATACATGCACACTCACAACACACGCACAGGAACGCACAGGCACACACACTTCAACATAAATAAATAAATAAATAAATTATTTAATAATAACCAGAGTATAAATGCACTGCACTGCTCATATATATGTTTGCATCTCTTTCTTTATATTTTTGTACGTAAATGCGTTTCTATGTGATACATACTATACGTACGTATAGTTGCCCGTTAAGTAAAGAATGTGAAAGTATGAATATATATATATAAATATATATATATATATATATATAGAGAGAGAGAGAGAAAGAGAGAGAGATAAATATATATATATATATATAGAAATACATATAATTTTTACAAATGTATGTCCATATTTATGTACCTATATATGCGGGTGTAGACAAATGTAAAGATATAAAATTCTGTTTGCGCTCATTTGAAGCATTACATTTCATCGGGAGCTGCGTTGTGAGGTGCTCCTCGTTCGCAACCTTGCTTGACGTTTATGAGATTTTGCATAGAAATTTTATTTGTGTTATGAATTATTTAGATTGTAAATAAATTAAACCAAAATGTAAACTGGTAGCAGAAATGTTGAATTACCGCAAAAAAGCAGTAATAGTTTTAATTAGTTGAAAACTTTTGAACTTCCAAGTTTAATTAAGGAAGAAAATGGCTTCGGCAGCTTCTGGATCCTCGATGAGGATGCAAAGCAGACGGCGCAGTAGGACGAAATCTTTCGAGAAGACCGTACTGGGCATGTGGCTGAAGAGAGTTCGCACGATCAAGTACAGCTCTGTGAAAACAAAATGCGAAGACCAACACCATCTTCACCCTACTCCTCATCACCATCATTATCACCACCACCACCACCATCGTCATCATTCCCAACGACTTTCATCAACACAAACAACGACACTCAACGAATATGCCATCGATGATGATGATGATGATGACGTCAGCACTGACGAAAGCGACAGTTTTTACGAAGACCTCCAAAAACGCATCCAAATAAACGTAAGTGGGCAGCAATTCGAAATAGCTTTGCACCTACTCAAGCAGCATCCAAGCACTTTGCTGGGCAACGAGACACTACGCAGACGATACTACGATAGGAAGAAGAAAGAATATTTTTTCGATCGTCACAGACCTTCCTTTGAAATTGTCTTCGCCTACTTTCAGTATGGAGGCAAACTGCGCAGACCCGAGTACATTCCAGAAGACGTCTTCCTCAACGAAATTGAGTTCTTCCAACTGGAACAAGACATTATCGAAGATTACAAACTATCGGAAGGTTACACTTTAGAGGAAGTTATTTATCCCGAAAACGAAACTCTGAAGAAGATTTGGCTGACGATGGAGTACCCAGAAACATCTCGCACTGCCTACGTGGTAGCTGTTGTTTCCGTCGTTATGACCATTGTGTCCATCATCTTGTTCTGCGTGGAAACATTGGAAAGATTCTCCAAGAGTCACTGCATAGAGGATGAGGCACCCAACTTTCTCGATGCTTTCTTCATCATTGAAACAGTCTGCACTGCTTGGTTCACCTTCGAGGTTAATTAAAATTTGTTATTTCATATGGTTATTTTAAATTTGAATTATAGTTTCAAACAAACGAAGAAAACTAATTTGTGTTTGGTTCATTCAGACGAAACAAATTAATTGTATTTTAAAAATCACATAGGCCAGGTTATGATGTACGAAAAACTTACATTTGGATGCATATTCATATAAAAATTAATCGAATTAAATGGATTGTTAAGCATGAGACAGAAATAATTGGTGTAAAACAACTGAAATTTATAATTAACATACTTGGGTGAAAATGACGGCTCACAAACTTTGGTTATGTTTTACCACATGGTTTTCATCGACAATAATTTTTGTGCTTTGAGAAGCATTAGAAACCGGTCATGAAGATGTCACGCTGCTGCGTGCACTCCCTGCAAGATTGAGAGTTCATTTAGTATGTTGACAAAAATTTAAATGTTATCAAATTTCTCGTCAATGTAAATAACTTTGAAAAGTTTTGAATATTCGTAAAAATTTTTTTCGCAACTTATCGCAAAAAAGTTGTTGGTATTGACGCTAATAATAATTTTTGTCAAAATGAAAAAATTATAAAGGTAGCATTGCGAACAAGCAAACAAAGTTATATACTTCCCAGAAATCTGGTGACAAACAAATCTAATCGGCAACTTATTATTTATTTAAACCATTAAACAAATCTTAATTATATTAATAGGGCAATTAAAATTTTCCATTTTGTTATCATATTTATGCCTTGCTTGTTGAACCAATCAATCTCAGCGTGGGTCAAAGTTCGATTTTTAAAAAGTCACAGAACACAACGTGAACATGCACACGCACCAAACACAAACCACATCAACTTGCTCACTATGCTTACTTATGTTTAGTCGAAGGTACTTGAACTGCATGATGACTCCCAGTTCCTGGAATGACTTTTTTAAAATTTTAATTGCAGGCCATACAAATTTCTTCATATAATATTTAATGGATGACATGGCTAATGCATCCGCTTGTTAAAAATTTTTGAATTTTTTCTATGGATGATGAACAAACAAATTTATCAAAATTTGATCCAATTTTTGTTGAAATTTTAATTAAAACTGTGACAAACAAGCATGAAAATGAACAAACACACTCACACACCATGCAAACATTTCTTAATCCGTTTAAATCGGGATTTTGAAAAACTTGAACATTTATTTACGTTTTGTGTTTTATGCTGAAAATTTTTTATAAATTACAATTTTAAAATGATAAATTTCTATCCAACAACAATGCGATTGATAGTAGGCAAAGGAATCTCTAATTAGTAAATACGTTTCATCATGGAACGTAAACGAGATCATAAACAAATATATTATAATTGCAATACCAACAAATTTTACGAATAATCAAAAATAAGATCTATATATAAAAAAAAATTATTCTACATGTAAATATTATATTATAAAATTATAGGTAAGTATAAACCGCCATTCACCAACTTTATTACATTTATTGAACTTCTAACTGATATCATAAATTATATTTTAAATTAAACGAAAATTCTCATATGAAGATGAGATTTTCGGTGATTTCAATGTAGCATATTCAAAAATAAAATGCCTTGGTGAGTGAACATTTTTGGTGTCTTTGGTCGGTTTCGGGTTATTCCCACTTATGAATCAACACACCAAAAACTTTTCGTTTGAGTTCCTTTTCGATAGAAAACATTTTTTCATTCTTATATTTAAAAAGTATTACGCAGTTAGAAATCAGTTACTACTTATCAATTCATGTTTTAAAATGATTATCCAGCCTGTGAACAATTATTTTTTAAAATTTTTATTTAGATTGTCTTCTTATTATTTCATTTTTTTTCATTTTTTTGGTTGCACTTACTAAAAGATAATCTGCACAAGCGTTGCTTAAATATATATCTATTGTTCATTTAAAATTAGAAGTTTTCCACTGATTTTTCAAATTATACCACTGTTGAACTGAACTTGTTTCCAAAAATGTGGTGTGTGTATGTGTTGTGTGCGTGTGGGTGGTGTGTGTGTGTGTGTGTGTGTGTGTGGTATATGTGCATTGATGAGGCAGATCACTACGATGCATCTTGAGTCAAAACACCACATAAGTTTAAATATGTGCGTCTGCTTATTTGTTTGTGTGTATTTGTTTACATATTTATGTGTCTGTGTAAAATTGTGTTCAGTGTGAGAGAGGTTTACTTTTGATTGTGTGAGTGTATGTTGGAGCATATAAATATATTTTAACGTGTGTGGATGTATGTGTGTGTGTGTTTGGAATTGGAAGACTCAAATTTTTAATAAAATAATTTAGCAAAACAAAATTTTGACAGCTCTGAGTACGTGTGAGCAAATTTCATCAGGTGAAACCAAAAAGGTTTTATAACTTGCTTTTCTCAGTTTTTCCAGCTGGTCTGATGGATTATTAATTTAAGTATTTAATTTTTTAAATATTATTGTATAAAGCATAGTAAAAACATGAAAAATAAATTATCATTATATTGAAATTCAATATTGTAAGTTGGAAGATTGGTTGGTTTGTTTATTTTCGTTACAATGCACCGTGTGAGAGTACACTAAACCGCAGTAGATTTGTAGATCCACAAACACACACACACGCACAAATACACGCACACACACAAACAAACATACACACAAACAAGCAAACACACACACACGCGCGCTCGCACAAACACACACACACACAACACTGCAATCACAGATCTCCTGTTTCTTCTTTCTCATCATGCTCAATGAGATTTCTCCTCAGTGGCTTGCAAAACTTATTACCATCTTTAATCTTGATTTATGTTTATTGGCGTTCTAGAGTTTATTGTAAGTTGTTATTTACCGAACTGTTTCAGAAGAAATAAAGATGTCATTGAGAGGCTAATGGTCTAGTGGGCGAAAGTTCAGGGGAAAGATGCAAGCGTTCCACAGTAATGTAAATGGCTCTTGAGCGAGTGTAAAAAATTACAAATAAACTAATTAAATAACTATTTAGCTTTGATGTCCATGAAATCATTTTTAACAAAATTACATTGTTAATCAAATTATAGTTAACATTAATTTTATCGACACCAAACAATTCACGTCTTACCACTAAGATTAATACCAACTCCGGTCTTTATGTCGATAAAACCTCAACAAAATTGTGCAATCAACACTAACAAATGGCAGCAACTTTTTTTATGAAAAGGGCAGACAAAAAGTTGTTGAATGCAATTAAGGATGAATCAAGTGTTAATTAGCAGAATTAGATGCTTAACAGGAAAACGTTGATAACAACGGAACGTACGCACGGTGCAAAATTAAGTTGCTCTATGAAGCAGATGCAACAACAACAACAACAACATTAACGTCTGAAACAACTGTATGGTTGGTTACTTAACATCATGATGCTTCTTGCAACGGACAACAATATAAACACAAAACAAAAATTCCGGTCAAAACCGCGTTGACAGCAACTGTTACATACAAACCACAGATTCTAGGACTTTTAACACATTGCTTGCACTGTGATGTATGCGTCGGAAATTTAAATTTGAAAAGTCGAACGCACATGTTACCCATAAACAAACAAAACATACAAACAAACAGACAAACAAACAAGATAAGATGTGCAAGATGAGCTGGCCACGAATTCACAAGCGAATGTTTCATAAAGGAGCGGTTGTCCAGAAAAAACAGGACAGAGTACATAACACTGTCATAGATTTTCATTTATTATTCCGAGTTAAATTTAATAAAACTGAATTAAATTGTTTAAATTTGTGCATACAAATGAAAAAAAATACAACCCTTCCTTCTTTTAAATGTGTAAAATTAAATGGATAGTTTTGTTTCTTTGATGAAGAACAAACAAACGTTCTTTTTATGTAATACGTAATAGTGTGCAATAAACGTGCAGATGTCGTGGAAGGCATGGAAAGGATGGGAAACGATGAAAAGGTTAGAGGTGTGGAATAACGCCGAACTGAACTGATGCAGTCGTGATAAATCTCTTAGAAGGATGTTAAACGTCAGCCCCATAGGCGATGTTCAGAGTTAACTGGGCTTTTAAACCTCATTTAAATGGCTTGGCGTAAATCAGCAAAAAAAAAAAAATCAGGCCCCGAATATAATTTTACACCGTCATAAAGTGGAACGTGTTTTTAGAGGAAAAATGTATGGTAGTTTATGGAAATTTTTTACCAAACAGTCCTGATGGAATGCATGATCGGATGTGGAAGTGAGAACATTTGTAACGATCTAGTGTTCATTCGAACGAATCGATCGGATTGAAATGATCTGTGTGAGATAAGATGATGTGCAGGGATGTGATGTGATCGCAATGATAGGATGGTGTACTACGTGATAAGTTACGATTACATACATGCAAAATGACGTGGCGTGATATAACTTGCTGTAATGTCCCGTGATTGAAATGACGTAATGTGATGTGATGTCATAAAATTTAAAGGGTGTGACGTTAACTTGTGTGTTCATGAGGTGATTTTTTTACGTTTCAGTTGCAGTGCTTTTTATTTTACATCGCTCGTCTAATATATTTTTTAAATATAAACATTTAAAACATTAAGATATATAAATCAAAGAAATATTTTTAATATCATCATTCCAACATCGGTGAATTGTACCGTAGATAAAATTCTCTCGAATGCTTTCTGACTTGGATCTTCATGTAGGCTCGTTGTTTCTACGACCGATGCATGCGTGCCATTTAACTAGTACCTAACTTTCCGAATAAATATATTTAGAAAATGTTGGAAGCATAAAAGTTGTTTTTTATAATGAAAATATTCACCAAAATTGAGAATGATCTGATGAAGCATTTCATTCACTGTTGTGGTTGCACGTATTTCCATGTTTGTTCAGTGAAAATATTACAAAATAATGTATAATTAGTAAATTTTGCTAGTATTGAAAGGATATTAAAAATAAATTATGATACATTTTATAAATATTATTAGGCCTTATAACGTTTTTTCAGAATCCAATTAATTGCAAGGTTTT